CCTACAAATCCGTCAATTGCCACTGCTATAAGTACACTACGCTTCCTCGTGTAGCAGCGAACCACCAAAATGACCTTTTGTGAGCGCAAGTACACTCGCTCAAATCGCCACATGTGACAGGGGTATTATATGAGACGTCTCTTGTGAACAGGGTACCACGTATGCGTTTTATTATCAACCCCTATTTCACTGCACGCTAACTGGTGTCTCTCAGACCCAATTGTCTGTTACATCAGTGTCTCGACTGTAATAAGTTGACGAGTTCAAGACAATGCCAGTAATAACTGCGCTGTTGCAAAATACTCAAGCATGATGCTGCTGTCTCAAGCACCTTCACAGGTTGGGCTCATGAATGCTAACATGCCAGCATAGCTGCTATCAGAACACAGATTTGCTGCCGTAACAACAGATAAATCCGTTTCCACATGACAATGGCACCAGTTCGGAGCCCTACATCCCAAGCATGTTTCAGACAGTCAGCATGAAACTTTCATGATAGGCAATGACTTTCATTTTAAGTGCCTTCTTTGACACTACCTTATGCATAGCAGTGGACAACATTCCTACCATTTCATGAACAACAGTAATGGCACGCTTAACTGCAATAGCTAGACGCTGCCCTTAACTAATGCTTCAGACCATTCACCTTTTGCCAATGCTGAAGCCACAACTGATGCATTAGGTCATGCACCTCTATTCAATGCTGAAGAGCCATCTGAATAGAGCCATGAAGACTCGCATGAATGCCTCACTGGACTTGATTTGACAACTGGCACTTCTGAACAATTGCAATACAACTAAACAGCGTGGTCGGCATATGTCGACCTAAACGCATCAACACAGAATGCCTCTAGCAGTTAGGTCAACACTGTCACGTACCAACTTCTTAAGCACAGAAGTATATACTACAATAAAGTGAGCAGATTTCCTCCAAGATGAGCTTAAAGGAGCCCTGCAACGTTTTTTGATAATGGTCAGAAAATGCTGCCAATCGACAGAAGAGGCTTCCAAAAACACGCGAGCCAAATATTATAGCGCAGCACGCAGCTTGGAATTCACAATAAATTATTCAAGTCAGCTAAACATTGCTTTCTCTTCTCTCAACAAATCACAGAATATGCCCAAAAATCACACGTAGCAAGCCCATCTGTCAGCCATTGGCTGATTTGAACATGGTGCGCTCGCTCGTTAGAGAGATCGCCGCGGGAGGCCGCGACTTGTCCATGCATGCGCGCGCGATCACACTGAAAAAGTTGTGCATTCGAAGAAAAAAAACAGAAAAAAAGTGCTCAAGGTCATGAGGCGCGCGTGAAGTTTTTCTGTGGCCCTGCCATACCTCCCTGCTTAGCTTCCAGCGCTTTCATCAGGGAGAGAGAATGCAATTTCAGCATGCGACAAACCTTCTAACTTCACTCGCAGTGGATGGGTTCCTAAATTTTTTGCGATGTTGCATTCGTAAGACAATAAGCTCTTTCAGAGGATTCATTCCATGGCTACTTGAAAAGGTGTTTTAAGGCTCCTTTAAGTTACCCTAACAGTATGGTAAACAAAAAAGGCCTGAATAATTTATTGAGCAGGTTGTTCCTGCTCAAGAGCACAACAATTCAACGATGCCGCATGGAATGTAAAAACAGAACAAAAATGAAGCAAAAAAGAGGTGTATATATATGCTACATGAACAATTGAAAGTACATGCAAAGTAAAGGTGTGCTTTCGTGTCTTGTTTTTTAGTTTGAAAGAAAGTGAAAGCAAATTTACCTGTAATGAAAACCAATGCAGTGACTCGCATACAAGTGGAGCCTGCATTGCACTAAGACTAAAAATTCTGACAATGTTAATGTCTTGTGTCAGGCCTGATGCCAAAAAAATTTTAACCCTCCATTTTTTTTACTGCTGTAACAGCAACACGAAAAAAGGGATTGGCAGTACAGGATATTGCAACAAATGAACTGATTATGCTCGCTGATGGCATCAACGGATGCAGACCTGTACTTTGAGAAGGTGCCGACACTCCTTGTAAAGTTGTTTGCGCTGCGTGGCACATGTGTCTCGTACAGAAGCCCTGTTTCTAGGTCACAACTATTGAGCGGTAGGTGGCGTTGTGTTCGCGAGCGTAGATAACCGCTATCATCATCGTGGTTGTTACAGCGATAGCGCCGATGGTGACCCCTGGCGGCAGGGAAGCCTTGGTGGCAGCAGAGAAAGCTTAGCAATCTCTTGTGGCGTGAAGTGGTAGCGCGGACGGTTGCCTCCAGCGATGGGTCTGCCGTGGACGGTACCGTGGGCCCACGTGGTGAGTCAGGCGTTAGCGGCACCACCTTGTTGTTTAATAATGTGTAAAGATGTCTTAGCGTGTTAATTACAATCAATGTATATTAATTAGGCTGACGATATTCGTCGATCCCGAGTAGTTAAATAAATATGTTCTTGTTTGCTTTGATCTGACCACGTCTACTGTGTCTGTTCACTCCAATAGCATGGTGCTCGCTCTCCCTTTCGAGACCCGACAACTTGCAGAATGTTACAAAAGTCTGAATGAATGTACGATCAAGCATCACGTGCACTCGCTTGATATCTGCATAGACATACAATTGTATTAGGGTTACTCTATAACTGTACTGTTTCTTATACCATCATGGCTGTACTTAATACATAGTATAGCAAGACTTCAAGATGTATATCTGGTCATCCTGTACTTTTTGACATCATTAAAATTGGAGGACTGTATCTTCACATACATGTAAGCACACACATGTGTGCTAGATAAAAATGAAAAAGATGAAAGCCAGTGACTCTTACACAGAAAAGTAGATTCACTAGAGGCGAAATGAAAATCAAGCGAAATAAAAAATTCAAATAAACCCACCCTATATATCAAGAAAAACAACAGAGGGAGAAGCAAATATGCTGAACACTAAGCATAAGTAATGTATGGCTGCTCACACATTTTTACAGCTACAGCAAAATGCCTGCTACATCTCATGTCTATTAGAACTGTTATAGTGTGGGTCCCTCCTAAATATTCAATATCGACCATTGTATCTGCCAAGGCAGTTTTCATTAGCAGAAAACATTGCAGACTATTAAATAGCATTGCTCACTTTGGCATGCTAAATCAATTTTCTACTGAATAACTTTTATTTTTGTTTTCTGAGGCGCTTGACAAGAGTAGTTAAAAAGCAGCTATTTTTAAAGCTAGCCGGCAATACACTTCGTTGTGCTATAATCCTAAGTTTACTGATTATATTTGAATAATTGCATTTGATCCTTTTTGAGCCTCATCCAACAAAACAAAATAGTAGCGAAGAGGAACCATTATAGTTCCATGATGCACTATTGTCACAAGAACAATGTTTTTAAGAGATATATTGCTTATGCGTTTATGCTCATTGCAAGAGTGCATGTGTATACAAAAACAAAAACATGGATGTGGGCGCAACAAGACGCAACAACCTGAAACCGTAAAGTACTATAGTGACTCAGCGCTAAGCATAGGCATACATATAGACCGCGCTAAGATAGGCATACAATAGACCAACTCTAAAAAGCAAAGATAGCTTTATTTTTCTCCCTCCCACCATGAGGCACTTTGTTCAACAGTGAAAAAGACATGAATTAGTTATGACTCTGCTCTGCATGTCAGAATGTCTGATAACCATGCAGAAAGGTACATACATTTCCTTTTAGGATCCCGCTTATCTATACATGTTCATAACCTCTTTGGGCTTCCTTATATACATATCTGCCACGACACCGAATTTTTCAAAAGTATATTGTCTCAGAACTCCTTTCTACGGGAAAGACAAAAGCTCTCTCCAATGCAATGAGCAGTAATATTGGTACGAATGCCAATCCATCCAAACCAGTAGCATTTAGTATTTACAGAACTGAGGTGCAAGATGGGATTAAGAGTGAACCAGGAGTGATTGCATCATTGCCTTCAAGCAAACATTTCAGTACCCGTAAATCATACTCATACACAGGGCCATAGTCCATACACTTGTTACCTAGTTCCGATTCCTCGTACGTGCATGCCATTCTTTGCACAAAAACAGTAGTCAGTTACTAACCCCTCCTCATCTACATCTTTCAGGGGTAAATTCGAATCTAGGCGTAGTAGGTGGGTTTGGCCAGTGTTCAAAACTGAACAACTTGTTTTTACTAGCCAAAAATTAGCATACGGGAATGAGTACTCTGCAGGCAATCTCTACTTGCAAACAACACAACTCTGCAATTTCCAAATCACATTGTAAAGCAGATGAATAATTCATGGCGCAGTATAAAGCAAGATGACAGCAAACCACAGGCACCAGCATTTATACACAAAGAACATTTCGCAGAATACCGAGAGCTTGTGCTAATCCACAGTACATTCTCAACACTTAACAATGGTCCTCCCCTTATTTAATAAGCACAGACTGAGAATTTATCAAACAAGGCAATACATGGCCAAGAGAGTCCACCAATAGTACCATGATTTCTGGGCAGTGAATGCAGACACTTGAGTATACGTACAGTGCATAGCAGTGGTTCAAACCTGTAGATTGACATTCAATGTCACCCACAAAAGTGATGTAGCACAACATCAAGAGTGAGAATGAAAAGAAAGTTCTCACATACCAGTGTTTTCTTCTGGAGCAGGCACTGATGTGCCCCAATGACTAAAGCACAATCCTGACCAATATCAATAGTTTTCCACATCAAAGCAGTAACACACATGAAACAATCTTCCTAGGAAAGAAAAGGTTGCATGCTTCAAAGGTTCCCACATGAAAATAAAGGCCCCTTACACAGGAAAAAAAGAAAATCAATAATGGCACCAAGGACAACAACAGCAGTTTTCAATTAGCCAAACAAGTTACTTGCTTGGCCAACATGCACTCGGAGGGGCGCCTTTTCACCCATACCCAAGAAAGGCACACACAAAAAAAAAATGCTAATAGGAGCCAACAAATCCAAGCTTGTAACAAACGTCTCAGTCATAGATACCTACACTGTTGTCTGTCACAGAAAATGTTGAATGGGAAAGGAGTGGACATCATTGGCGATTAGATGGACACGAATCTTTAAAATGTACGTGCACGCACGCTTGAGGAATGTGAACACGCGAGTGCTTAGTTAGTGTTGTGCAGTACATCGACTTGTGGGCTGGCATAGTGCAGGAACCACCAGACCTGGGTGTGGCCACCAGTGCACGGCTTGGCTAGCACAGCGTCCTGGTCTGTGGGAGCGGCCTCGATACACAAACCTGTTTGACGGTGCTTCAGTGGGCCACCACGTGTGTGGTCCCAACGCTGCCGTTCCTCAGACTCTGCACCCTCACCGCAAGGGGCCATCATGACCTTGCGGGCAGCCTTGTCTGGCTCACTGGACAGCTCTGCACAGCTGTCTTCCTTGCGAATCTCGTGTCGCCATGTGTATGACACCAGCTGCACATAAAATTATTGCAGAAATAGTGCCTATCATTCAATCTCTGACTAATTCATTCCAAGCAGTAGTATCAAATATTCTTCATTTGTATATTACTGCTCGCCTCTAGCTGAGGCTATAAGTGGGAATAGAAAGTGCAAGATGTAGCGAACAAATCAGGAATAACAATCATGTCACAAGGACAAGAAAAAAAATTCAAAATTCAAACCACATACGCAACACCTCAAGCATGCGCAAACCATTGCAGAATGACAAGACAGTACTTCTCGTGTAAATACAATTAAATAAAAATAATAGTAAGACACTTAACAAAAAATACAGCGTCACGCATATCGACAGCGTTCGAAACTATAATGGTTGCAGATAATTGTGAGAACTATTACAACTGAAGAATCCGTACAAAAGAGTCCATAGTCGGACATTCCGCAACATCTGTTGGGAGGCAGTTCCACTCTCGAATTGTCTTCGAAAAAAGAGAGTTTGCAAAATTTCAGTGCCGAGTGGCTCGCTGGGATTCTATGTACGTTTGTTTATGTATACGGAGTTTACCATGGAATAACAGGAGCATGAATCGGTCACGTTGTCGTCTTTTTTTGAAAACATTCCAGACCTGCTTTTTTTACCGAGGCACTCGCTGAGGTGCGCCAACTACAAGAAAAATATACAAACCCAGGCGCTTTTTCTTTTTTTTTGACAGATTATAGTTTTTTTATATTTCTTTGAGTATATGGGTTCAAAACTATTAATTCACATTTTATTACGGACAGACCAATGTTTAGATACCATTAGTCCAACCCCATGTGTACATTGTCATAAATTTCCCTTTAAATAACAAAGTTTTTGCGTTGCCTTCCTGCGAATTTCTGATATATGTTCATTCTACCTCGAATCCGATGCTCCCATGATGCATCTATACCTGCTTACGACAGTGAGGTGGTTGCCACCTATGCAATCAAATCAAATCAAATCAAAGTTTATTTACATCCTGAAGATGTGGGCAAGCTTGGGCGAAAAGCGAAACAATTCGCTTGAGGAAAGCCCAAGCCCCCATATACAATATGAAAAGTGTGATGGTTGTCGTTTTCATGTCACAATCATTGCAACTGATTTTTAATGTTTATTTTCATTTTCCGATCCGTAAACCACACTGCAATTTGTGCTAATGCATTGTGCAGTAGAGCCTGATCCCTAGGATTGTCGATGTGGTGATAAATTATGCAGTCATCAGCACACAGCCTAATTTTAATGGGTACATTCTGAACTATATCATAATAATTATTAAGAAGAACAAGAGCCCCAGCACGGACCCTTGTGGAATGTCTGACTAGACAGATACTGAATCTGAGCATGCTTTATCGATTCTGACACACTGGGTTAAACCATACAGATAAGCTTCTATCCATGCTAGCAGTGAAGTACTGTTTAATGATGATTTTGATTTTGAGAGGAGCTTAGCGTGTGAGGCCCGATCGAAGGCTTTTTCAAAGTCGAGAAAAGTAACGTCGGTTTGGCTTTGTTGATCAATAACTGCTGAGTAGCCATGAACTAGCTCGACGAGTGCCGTTACTGTTGAAAAACTTTTTCTCAATCCGTGCTGCCTGTTATCAATGTTATTGTTATGTTAGAGAAACGTCGACATATGTTTGAAAACAATGTGCTCAAGGACCTTAGAACATGCACACAGCAATGATATCGGCCTGTAAATGACACTGATGATGATTCCTCTGATTTAGGAATAGGTATGCCGCATTTCCGATCAGAAGGAACCTCTGGTTTCGATAGCGATAGATGAATGTGAGGCATAGGTATTTACTGCACCATTCGGCATACCTGAGGAGGAAGGCATTGGGGTATGCCGTCTGTGCCTGGGCATTTTCGGTGTCAATATTGAGCAGAAGCGACAAAATGCCCTGCTTGACCACGAACCCATTGTCAATATTGGATGGCTTTGATAAACTGGGACAAAGTGAGGCATTCTGCAGTCATGATTTGTGAATACAGAGGAGAAAAACTGCTTAAAGGCTGATGCGATTTACGATTGTGACGTCATTGTCTCGCCATTTATAGATAATTTATATGTTGTTTCCTTTTTATGAGCCAAGTGCTGATATAATTTTTCCAGTGCTGTGAGCAGGAAGTTCTGCATTGTCACGCTTAAATCATAGTTCTTGTTTTTCGTAATTCAGTCTTCCATCTGTGCACATATAAGTGAAAACTTGTTTTAGGGGTGATGCTCCTAGAGGCGTGGGTCTATCCATTTCTTGTATGTACATACGTAACCATCTATAGGTCCACTTTTTCAAACTGCCCACTACTTCGTTCTAGCTAACATCCCATCCCCATCACCGATCCACTACTTCACTGACCATAAAGCCGTTATAATGAAGGGGAAACGGAAGCGACGTATAGCTACCACTTACGAATAATAAAATTTTTTGCATACTCGCATAAATATATACAGTGTTTGTCACATCTTTGATGTTGTAGTGGGCAATATTGGCGGATGGTTCACGATTTAGCGATGAAACCCTCCAGCGCTTCGCCCCACTCACTATCATTCACTCCATGGATATGCTGTAATCTGTTTTATCTTTTTTTTTTTGTTAACAGTGGAGGGGGATTGTCCGCTTTCTAAATCTTATTCCTTTATGTTGTAGCCAAATAATTTGTTTGTTTATCCAAACAGTGGTATTTTGTATTTGTTTCATAATATTTGGCACAAAATCATTCACACATTTTAGCACAACACTTTTGAATAAACACCACAATACGTCGACTGCTCAAACGGCTGACTCGCCTAAAAAAACGAAATTCGAAAAGGAGTGGTTCAGTAAGTCAACTATCGCAACATCATTGGCACGTCTGAAATTTGGACACACAGATCTTTGTTATTCTGAGCAAAAAATCGCATCCAAGATTCAACAACATCATCTTATGAACAGAAATACCGTAATAGATATTGCTACAATACTGAGGGGACCCATGGTAGAAGAGGAGAACGAGGTCGGCACGAGCGGTGATCTGCCAGATGCCTGGACTCTCGCATTCATCATCTCTTGTAAAAAAAGGCATCTCACCGTTACAAGATTGGTGGAAGGTACGGGGTACAGCGAAGCGATCCCAGGTGAACAATCACGAAAGCGCTACCTCAAGAACTACGCCGAAGCGGCCGACTGGCCAGTCTACCACCACTTTCTATAGATTCGATAGCTGACGGTGACACCACGCACTCTTCCTCTTGCGCTACGTGGCCCCGACACTTAGTACCACGAAGCTTCTCTAAAATGGGGAGAAGATGTCGAAGAATGGCTGAAAACAATCGTGTGAGTAAAGTACAATTGTTGGAATGCGGCCTTCATAACCCCAGATGGTCTATTTGAATTCAATGTAATGCATTTTCGCCTATGCAATGCTCCAGCCACGTTTGAGCGCTCATTGATTCTATATTACATGGACTAAAGTGGGAAGTTTGTCTTGGCTACCTGGATGACATAATTTTTAGTCGTACATTCGATGAGCACAACCATTGTCTAGACATTGTTCTCACCTGCCTTGAAAGAGCTAAGCTCACTCTGAACTTTAAGAAGTGCCACTTCAGCAACCGTGAGACTCCCGTTCTCAGTCACCTGGTGGACAAGCATGGCGCTCGACCGGACCCCCAGAAAGTCGCTGCAGTCAGCAGCTTCAAACAACCTCAGTCTGTGCGAAAGTTGCGAAGCTTTCTGGGCTTATGCTCGTACTTCGGTCGCTTCATGCCTAAGTTCGCCGACCTCGCTTACCCTTTGACGTCCCTATTCAACAAGAATTCACCTTTTTGGTGGTCAGCGGTATGCGAGTCGTCTTTTTCGCAACTCAAGTTTGTTCTTACGACAGGGCCCGTGCTTTGTCACAACGATCCATCTGCTGCCACAGAAGTTCATACCGACGCCAGTGGTGTAGGTATCGGCGCCGTCTTGATCAAATGCCATAAAGCTACTGAACACGTCGTTGCCTATGCCAGTCGCTGTTTAACTCTTTCCTTACCACGCCACTAGGCATCGTTCACCGGTGAACGAGGATTTCACGCCCCCATTTTTCAACAAACACTATGCGTATAGACTTGTAGCGCCATCTAGGCGATTGTACACACACTAGAATTGCTGTTTCTGTACGGTTCGCATTTTTACCGCGTGGCGGTGATTTTGGTTGAAGCGCACGTGATCCGCTCGATGGCGTCAACATCTGAAACCATCGGAAAAAACAACATCGGAAAAAAGCCGTTTCGCTCGATGCCGACGCCTCGACGAGAGATCTTTTGGATTTCTCGAGCAGTGAGAAATCGAACAACGATGTGGTGACATCGGATTTCAGCTCCGATGAAGAAATTTCATCAAAACAGCCGGGAACGTCATGTGTTAGTCGTGAGTAAGTTTGGTTTTCACCTTCTGTTTTGTTTATCGTGTTCTGGAGCTGGCTGACTTGTTCTGTATGTGTCCCACATATTATTATTATTTCTAGCGTGTCTATTTCACTTGGGCACGATGTGCTGCCTCCAGCACAAAGACGCGTGAACTTCCGACCCCAGAGGGATCCGGGCATCGACCTCGGCATGACGCTCCGCAGTAGCGCACATCGGTTGACGAGAGCGTTGGATTTTTTTCGCCTTTTCTTCATGGCGGAGGTGATCCGCGCTATCTGTCTGAACGCCAACAAGTATGCGTGGGCCCACATACTAGAAAAGCCGACATACAGTGAGAAAGACAAATCGTGGAAGGAGGTGACGCCGGAGGAGATGATGAAGTTCATCGGAGTCCTGATGTATATGAGGATATTAGAACTTTCCGCGTCTAAATTTGTACTGGAGTACGACTAAAATGCTTTCGGGACTTCTTCCACCAGAAGTCATGTCAAGGCGGCGTTTCACCGCACTTCTGGCCATGCTGCATGTTTTGGATTCCGAAACGAATGGCGCTACTGCATAAAAACTGGACAAGGTGTCTTGGCTTCTTCAACACATCAA